AAAAAGCTGTTAAAACACGAGTAAACAAGAAAAAACGACAACTAAATTAGTTTTTTATCTTTTCTAGTTAGTAGTTCTTTTTTTTTTTGCTAATCACTGCTAAGTAAAAATAACAGTTGTTGTTCAATTACCTGTTAAATAATTTAGTAGTATGTGTTGTCTCGTTAAATTCTTTGTTTTTATTTCTTTATACAGAAATTTTTTTCTAATAAAATTCTTCTAAACGTGCAGTTTAAAATTGAATAAATCTTCAATTCAAAGCTTTAAAAAAATAGTCTTTTTTTGTTGTTGCTGTTGCTGTTGTTGTTAGGTTGAGACTGTACGAGTTGTAGTTTCTGATGAAAAACATTATGCTACTGTTTAGTTTTTTTTTCCTTTAACATAGCTGCTGTAAAAGAGGCTCAAATAAGAATTATAAAGGTAAGGTAGAAGAAACAGATAAGCTGTTTAATGATAAATTTAATTTGAAATGAAAGTAAAAAAAAAAACGTAACACTAAATAACTGCTGTTAGAGATTAGACTCTTAAACTTTTAGCCTATACTTTTAATTGTCAAAAACTTATGGTTCTTAAAAAAATACTAAAAAAAAATAAAGTTTGATGTAAAGTTTGATAAAAAAAAAAAAAAAAAACAAAAAACTGTAAGCTCTTTTTTTTAACCGTTTACTTCGGTATAGCTAGCTGCTTGCTTTTGATAATAATAATTCAATCTATAGACTGTGAATGATTAATGTATCAGGTTGTTTCTCTCAGTATTTTCATTTTTACATCTAATTTTTGAAAGTGATGTATCTTAGTTAAGCATACATTCTACTTAGTAAAATAAGTATTATAAGAAGCAATGCAATCTCATTAAATTCTTAAAGAGTCAAAAAAAAAAACTTTTTTTTTTTTGGAACTTTTGATTCCACAATCAACCAAAGCTCTACTGCCACTCTCACCTTCCACCTAATCTCAGCAACTTTCCTCGCTTAAGAAACCATCAAAAGTACTGAGCAAATAATGCTTCGTAAGGTGATTAAGCTTTGTACAGGTGATAAATGCAAGGTGCCTAACTGATCAGATATTGGCACAGATCAATGATGCAGAAGCTAGCCAAGCAAGAATTACTTCCTACTGACTTTACAGTTTGGAATTCAATTCTTTTGATATCTTTGTCATGATTCTCATTTTACGACAATAAAAAAAATGACAGTTTTTTGCAGAGCTGCAAAATGCAGTGTTTCATTGCGCTATCCAAGAGAGAGAGCGACTTTTTTAGGAAAAAAAATATGATTTTAAGATTGTTTTTAACAAAAGAACTTTCTTGAACCACATTGCAAACTTTAACGATTGACTGAGAGACCCTATTTCTTCAGTACAAGTCATAATAAAGCCAAATAAACAACATTTCTGATGGGAACTTGACGAATTGCATAGATGGCTTTTTTAAACTGCTCATTGGTCTTCTAAAGTCAACTTTTCTACTTCATTAATCCTTTTCAGATTTCTACCAATTGCACCATCGAACAACCCAAACTCTGACACTGTCCCTTATGCACTTGCTTCTAGTTTGTTCTCCAGAAGTTTCTCGAAACCCGATCACTTACAACTGAATAGACATTTCTCACTTTTCACCAGTCATCTCGATTCTCGGCGTTAAAACGTCAGTATCTTATTAGTAAAGAAGAAGGAATTTTTTGAGCGCGTTTTGAGAATATGCCTTGGTAAGTATCTAGCGCTGACACTCTAGTCTTATACTTATCTAATACAACTGGGTATATAAAACAGATTTTGGTGCTTAGAACTAAAAGCTTTTGTAAAAGAAAATCACCAAAATCTTTAAGAAAAAGAGGTTGAGAGTGAAAATACAAAGTCTACTCTTTGAATCGGTATATAGCTTAAAAATAAATAGGTAGTTTATTAAAAGCTGCTGTTAAAAAAATGTTCTTTCAGAAGTGACTATGTTTGTATGCTACAACCTAATATTTTTATGTAGAAAAAAAGACACATAGTATAACTTTTTTGATGCATAGTTATTGATATAATTAAACAATTTCTTGTTCGTTTTGTCTGACTTTTGAGAAAGCTAAAATTGAAGAATTTGATAAATTATAGTAAATTTTTTTAGAACTGCAAGAAATGGACCACAAAATAGATTTACCGTCAACGTCACAAGAAACAGTAACGATTCCACCATTAAAATTTCTGGCTGAACGTTACATTGCCATTACACTGTTTGAGGTAATCAGTTTAAATTGGTTTCATTTCTTTCTTTAATAACTCACAAAAATTTCTTTAATAAAAATAAAAAAAAAAAAAGATCTTATGTAATAGCGTTGAGAAATTTAAATTAAACAACTGAAAAAAAAAAAAAAAACCAGGAAAAAAAGAACGAATTGAAAGAGGCAGAAATAAAATTTAGTTTGTAAGTTGATTGATATATTACAAAAATATTTCTTTACAGTATTATATGATTTCAAATAATTATGACTGTTTTTTTACTGCAAATACATTAATATTATTACAGTATGTCGATTAGGAACAGCTTTTTTTTTTTTTCAGAATAATATACGATGGCGAAGGCTTTCAGATTTGGTCTATACGCTTGGTGATTGGCTTCGAGAAACAGAAATGCCTAGTCGTTTTAAAAAACAACTTCGTGAAGCAATTGACAAAGTTATTTGGGAAGTACAGCGATGGAGTAAGTTAAGAATATATAAATTTATATTTATATTTACTCATATTTACATATAATATTCAAAAATATAGATGTTTATAAAAATAATTGTTTATGAATAGTTAAGGGGGGGAAAAAAAAGAAGGTGCAAAGACATTCTTCAAGGCTTAACAGTGTAAATTTTGTTGCAAAAGTTTGTTAATTAGGTGTCAGATATTGCTAATAATGAATTCGTCTATCGTTCAGTGTCATCAAAAAACACCCATAATAACGAGCGGAAATGTTATGCAAATAATATAAATAATTGAATTTTTTTTTTCAAATATTATTTGGTAAAAAAAACTGTTAAAAAAAAAACTGATTTTGCAAGAAATTTTTTGTTTAAGCCAAAAAAAAATTGATTGCATATGACTACAATTTCATAAGACAGTGCAAAATGCTCAGAAGATAACACTTAACAAATGTTGATATAAAAACTGTAAAGACAAAAAAAAAAATAAATAAGTTATAGCATTCAATTTTCTGCTGATGAACTGCCAATTTTTATTTTTTGAATAAACTAATCTTTATTGCAAAACAGAAAAGCAAGAAGATTGCAAATTTTTTTTTTTTTTTTTGAGCATAATTTTCCAATAGTTTTAACAACGCTGTTACTGTTTTTTGATGCTAATAAAAATGCTAACTACACCTTAACTATAAATAAGCAATTAGTTGCTTAAAAATTTATTCAGCAGACTTCTAAGTTAGCAAATTTGTTTTTAACTTTCTTTTTATTTTTGCTGTTGTTTTCGACAAATTTAAGGTTTTCTATATTTTTTAAAGCATTATATAATCTGTCAATCTTTCTGCCTAATTGTTAGGCAAGTTAAAGTACTCTAAATGCATGTTATAACTAACTGTAGAATTCTGGAATTATGGAGAACCACTGGCAGAAAAAAAAAAAAGTGGTTATTTTCTTAAGCAGAACATAATGACATCGATATTCTTGTAGATGACCAGTTGACAAACCACTTATATAAAATTGTCAAACTTTTGATGGATAAAAAAACGAAAATGTAGAAAGTTGTTGAAGCAGAGAATTCAGTATTTGTGTGGGTGATCAATTTCTTTTTGACAACCAAAAAAATCTCGGTTTCAAAAAATTCAAGTTTGACTGTTGTCATTATACCTATCTCTTTCATATTCTAAAGTTTCATATTGTCTACAATTTCAGTCTTCCTTTTTTTTTTTTAACTTTTTCGTCGCTTTTCTCAAATACGTCTTTTTTTTTTCTTTTGAAGCAAAGCGAACCACTTAGTTTGTAAGAAGAACCTGTACTGCTCACTCATTTTTAGTCGGTACATTGGTAGACTCTCTCAGCCTTTTTGTCCCTTTTTTTGCGGTCTCATTTCTCATCAAAAATGTGACATAGAAGTGCTTTTTTTTTTGTATTTGTAAAGACTGTTAAAACAGTAGTGGAAGAATAACTAGTAAAAGGCTTTTTTTTATAACAGTAACTTGTTATGATAAACGTTATGATGTTGTAGACAACTAAAGAGATTAGACTTCGAAGTGATTTTCTTAAGATTGAGCAAATTTTTTAAAATAATTTTGGTACAATAGTCTTGCCTGTTTAGTTTAACTAATAAGATAGTACAGCACTAAAACTGCTGTTGGTTACGCTAAAGTGTTTGACAAAAAAAAAAAAAA